AAATTTTTCAAAATTTTTGCAGAAATTCGAAAATGTCCATATTAAGGACCACCCTAGTTTATATATATATATATATATATATATATATATATATAAATATTATCTCAGATTGTATTTCCTACCTACATAGTGACTGCTAAAAATTGCAATATGTACTCCTATGATACAACATCCGTAGGGCGCTACGTTTTCGAAGGGCGATTTGTCCCTTTGCGATTTTCATATAATAGGGCAGTACAGGATTGGGTTTGGAGGGCAGAAGGGTAGAAATGTTCACTTGTTCTGACAGATTGCCATATGCGAACTCTAATTGCAACCGACAAAATCATGTACAACATTTTGCTTGTTTCATTAATCATTTTTAGCATATACAAAAAATGTAAATGCCAGTAGCCGATAGCGTCGTAAAATTGGTTTAGCTATGCAAAATGATTATATTCGTGTAATAAAAATAGATATTTATGACCAAAACAAATTTTATGTAGTTTATAACTTTATAACGTTCCTGCAAAAAATAATATTGTAATATGAATACTTTATTGCCTATCATCAACGGTATTTGCGGAATTTCACATTGATTCGATATAACAAAAATTCGTTTTTGAATAAGTTTTATGGCTCTGTTAAAAATAACATGGAAGCTTTATAGCAAATATAAATAAAATTATCTTTAAAATTTAAGTTTCTTATACTGTTAATATAGCTATTAGAATTGGCAATATCAGACTAAATATTTTGAAGTAGAAAGTTATTTTTATTAAAATATTGATTCATGATGAAATGTTTAAAGATGCAGTGTTTACTTTGTATTTAACTATTTATTTTTTACCATATTTTAAGATATGAGCTTTTATTGGTTATTATTGGTTATAATTGAAATATCTTTTATATCATTTGATGATTATTATTGGTTAGAACTCTGGCTTACTAACCAGAAGGTTCCAGATTAGATACTTCACTCGCATTATCTGAACATCAAGCAGTGGTGACGTAGGTTTTTACTTAGATATATAGATGAAAATATGTTTCCAAGAAAAATTAGCCTTTCCTCGACATTGCTGCATCAAATCAAAAAGTCTTCAGTATTAGAAAAAATGTAATAATGAAAATATATCAAGTATAGATAGACCAATGATTGGTAAGTATTATCGCAACAGTTCATAAAACTCTTTACTTCTGATTGCAGTATAGACGAAAAAGTCTATCTCACAATAAACTTATTTGTCATGAAATCCGTTCGCCTTAACAAAATTTCCTGAACTAAAATATCTTTTATATCATGTTCTTCGAAAAGAACAATTCTATATTTCGTTGGAAAAGCTAGCAAATAATTCGAAGTGTGTTTTCAAAATGTGCAACACATGTTATGTCTTGTGCAGTCGAGCTTGCTGCAGAAAGGGATGGGAGGGTGCGATGCTCCCGTAGCGACCGACGTCCCGGCGCCTCCAGCTGAATACAAAAAATTTAAGTACTCGGGCGTACATACAAACGCCATCAAAATATATATTTTGAGCTGGGTGGCAATCGATCTTCAGCATACTACATTGTTGCATTAATACTATAAAAAATGTGATGTGGTGAAAATGGAAAAAACATGGAAGTGCTTGCTTATGAAGTCGAATTGCACTCATTTGGTAATGGTTCATAAAATACAATGAAAATTAATAAATTTTAGCTGCAAAACTATAAGAAGAGATTCTATTTTTTTATAATCTATTGTAAACAGCAATCATAATTTAATAGGCTAACGGGTGCGTCCATTAATCACGTGAGCCTTAAAAGGGAAGGGGGAGGGTGTTGACAAAAAATCCCGAAATATCACGTAGGAAAGGGGGGGGGGGTGCTAGTAAAATATTACGTGTATTTATTTTTAATCTCAATTTCAAAAAAATCTAAAATTAAAAAAAAATCCTAGGCGATTTTTTCTAGGTACTAATTTACACGTAAAGTTGGTGTAGCAGGGGGTGTAATTTTAAATATTACCACATATCAGCAAGGGAAAAGGGGGTACAAAAATTCATAGAAATCACTCACGTGATTACTAGACGCCCCCTAATAAGTCGATGTGATAAAATTTATTGATGGCTTTAAGGCAATTCAATAGTTGACAAATCTCTTTTTGATCAATTTATTACTAGAATGAGTCTAACACTGATGAGTTTTTTATTAGATGCAGCAATGCCGAGTAAAGGCTATTTTCACTTGGAAACACTTGTATATATATACTAGATGACCCGACTGACGTTGTCCTGTACCCATGTCTACAATTCAGAAGTTCCATTTTTTTGAATAACCATTTTTTGGAATTTGTTGTCTTTTGAACAATATAACTAATTCAGAAAGAATTAATATATAGTATCCGCGGTAAAGGTACAATAAATATTTTCAATGCCAAACAATGATAAGCGTTCTTTTTATATTTTTCTCCATTATATTTCTACAATCCAACTATATTTCTATAAATCAAAAAATCCGAATAATCGTTTATGAGGATTATCCTTTTATACACTATTACAGAAGAATTTTATATATAAGATATATATTCTCAAGTAAAACCTATATTACTACTGCTTGAGGCAAGAATGTCCGAGGCAGATCCTGGGCCTTTTTAATGGAAGCTCATTTCTCGAATCACTAATCCACGGAAAAGTTCGTAAGATTTCAGTTATCGATTTTTCCATATTATCCAATAATTCAACAAGTTAACTGTGATTGAAAAATATACTCGTCAAGTGGCAGAATTTTGTATATTGACGAGTATACTCGTCATACGTATGAATCTTTGACCATGACTTGACTTGAGCATTTAAATTGCAACTTTTGAAAGAAAAAAAAGCATTCCTAAAATTTGAGATATAAAGGTTAGATTAGAATATTTTGAGCCTATGCTGGTATAATACAAATAGCAAATCCAATTGGCATTTTACCTTAAAACAACATTTTAAGGTGTAACAAAATTGTGTGTTCAGTTCAGTGAAAGCACCACAGTTAACTGGTTACAATTATTTACCAAAGGTGTCATGTTACCATTGCCCCAGTATGAAATTGAAAGCTAAAAGCAATTGTGCAAAGTTACATCCTACAAATCACATCGTAATAGCAAACAAATATATCATTATTATGCATATTTTATACGATCGTAAATGCCATTGATATTTATAACCTGAACTACCGCAACTAGAACCAACCTGTCCCCTTTGAGCTGATCAGTTCTCAAGGTTTGAAACTTGTTTTCATTGATTTCGCCGTTTTTTGGCCGAATGATTTACGTTCAATAAGTTTACGATTGTTTTACACATCAGAATTATACTTATTTAAAAGATAAGTAATATTCTTTAGATTCGTTCCTGGTAATTCTTTATATCTCTCATTAAAGAACAAAATGCTATAAGAAACAATTAACTTAAATTTTAAATAAAATGAAGTAAAGATATAGACCTTATAATACATGGAGTGCTAGTCGAGCGCAAAATAAGTGCTCAAACATAGAAGGGTATGTAAAGTCACATAACTGAGCGAACCTTGCCGACGACAATCGCGGACTCCCCCGATTAATTAATGTCATGTGTCATATTTTCTATTTTAATAATATACTGGGAATTGTGATGGCTGATAATTTTGTAAGGTATGATATTAATAATATATAGTAATATTTATCATAATAGTTAAATTAATTCAAATATTATCTGTGATAATTTTATTTCAATAATATAATGGCTATCGTGCTGGCTGATAATTTTGAAAGAAATGCTATCAATAAAAATTTCCCCGAAATAAATGCACGTAAAATCGAATCCACCTGTTAAAATCAATGTATATGTTATAAGACCTATGTTAGGTACTTTACATATGACATGTGACATTTAATCAATCGATAGAGTACCGCGATTGTCGTCGGCAATGTTCGCTCAGACATATGACGTCACATACCCTTCTATGTTTGAGCGCTATATACAACAAAAAACATATAAGGACTAGCAGTCCATATAGTGCCTATAAGTACGAGACGTATAGACCAACTTCCATAATTTCTTCTGCAAGGAATTATTCCTTTTTCCCTGATTTTGTACTAAATGTATACATCTGTTTAATTGATTTCGTGGCGAACAGAACAATGCGGCGAACTCATCAGAATAAGTGGTCACTTGCTAATTGAAAAACAGTGAGCTCGCGAATATAATGTCGTGCAAAAATACTACTTACGTAATTATATGCGAAAATATTGTACACTTTGATACGTTATATAATTTATTATGCTAATTATGTGAAGTAACGAAGACCATTCATTATTGCAAAAAATGTGCTTTGCTAACTGCTACCTTGCACGACATTGCAGGATAGGTCCGAATTCAACTGTCGATGGAGATGGAACATTTTCCAATTGGAAATTACTTAGCAGGGGAAGTAGAGTTCATAAAATATACTTTGAATTTCTATTTGTAAAGGCCGACAGAGGCAGTAATACGGTTTCGAATCATTAGTACCGAATTCTGGAATTTCTTACATTTTAATTGAATTCTATATTATACTGTACAAATAATTGCTTTTATTACTCGAATTAAACGCGAACTGTACATAATGCTGGAAACACTTAACCTTATGATTTCAAGTTAATGAATGACATCTATACCTTCCAAACGAATGTACAACTCATTTTTCCAGAGCTCCAAAAATTGATTGTTTAATTCTCTATAATTATTCGACCCTGTTTTTTATGTTTTAATATTTATAATATTCCGCATACAGGATGTCTTAACAAAAAGATTAAAAAAAATTAATTTTACATAAAACTTAAAAAACGCATCATAAGAACTATACATTAAACTGTCAAAAGTGAATGAAACGTATTAAATTGTCAAAAACGAACTCCTGAAGGTCTTAAAAGCATATACTGTTAAGAATTCGAATATACTGTTTAATGGTAATTAATTTCATGCATTTGTACATAAATGTATGAGGGAAGTCACTACAAAATCTAAACTTAAAATGATAACTCTTACCTTCTGCAGCCACCTAATGGAATACAGATTTTCTTCCAATATTTTGATGTTTTCCGCATACAGGAAACACTTGCAATCTTGATTCGAAATTGATCTGAAATAGATATGAATATATATCGTAAGTGGAATATAACTATGCGGTTTAAGAAATCAGCTTAAAAATTATTTGTTGCTGACACAAATTTTATTTTACTTTAATTTATAAATATTCAATTTAATACGAACTTGAAATGCCAAATGAATTTATTATACATAATCCGCAATATAATTTCACAACTCTCTAAAATTGAACAAATTATTAGTTTTATAATGAAAAAAAAATTTTTTTTGATAAATATTGACAGGTTAAAAAAAAACTTTAAATGCTATCCTCTATTAGATATAAATACAAAAATAATTGAATGAGATTTTTAGTCTAACAAGGAGAACCACAATTTTCCTTTTCTGGGATTTTGATGAAATTTCTCATGGTGGTGGTTGATAGTCAAACAAAATAGTTTAAAATATTATAGACCTATGAGAAGTGGTTGAACCATAAAAATTAATTGAAGTTTAGGAAAATCAGGCAGTTTTACTTTTACTCACATTTAGAGATAAAACAGTTAAAAATGATCGCATTCAAATCCCATCAAGGTATATATATATTAGGGTGGTTCGAATTTCCTTGCTCCCAAGGGCTCAAATGGTTCCAAATTGATAAAAAACAATTCTCTCAAAGTTTTAGCTCTTAATATTGTTTTTTAGATAGTGCGCAATTCAATCAAAGTTTTGTATAGAAATAGCATGAAAAAATTTTCAAAAATTTTAAAAATCTTTTACAGAATTATACTATTACGTTCTTTTCTCGAATCGTTGACTTTTTAATTAGTTAAAGCTACTTGAATGCGGTAATTTTACAATCAAGTAATTTTTTTCTAATTATTCTCAACATTTCAAGTTGCTGCTGATAAACTATGGAATTATTTACCTATTGATAATAATTAATCGTAATTACTAATGGCTTGAAAAGCGTAATTGTTTATCTTACAATACTCGAGAATGAGTCACAATGAACAACCATACATTATTGATAAAGTAATATCGACATAAACCTATATTAACAAGCTAATAAGGCATAGCAGAACAATAAGCAATATACATAATTCTAGCTTTTATCACATTATAGCCATCGTGACCAGAAATTATTGATATTGCGTCACCGTGATCTTCTCAGTAATACGCGATTACTAAAGAGATAAGTGATAACAATGCGAAACTAATTATCCATTACTAAAGTTCAATACGTCGTTAATAAATAAATAAATCATTTTATTATAATTTGATTTTGATAATATTAATAATGATTTTTATTGTGCATAAGTGCGCTCTGGTAATTGAAATGGAATGTGTGCAGTATAATTTGGCCCAATATAAACGTTAAACAATTCAATTGATTGATACGAGACACACAAACATACACACTCATATATATATATATATATATATATATATATATATATAAATTATATGATTGCGCTTTTCACTACCACCCGCATATCTGATTAACCTTATTGAAGTTTATATCACTGCATTCTACTTATGAAAATATTAACAATATGTATAATCATATAAATATATTTTTTTCATTATATTGAAATTCTGCATAAAGTGTATAAATTATGACTACTATTTTTTTCCACATTTAATTATTGTATATTATGAGTTCACTTATTTTTCACATTTATTATACCTTCCCAATTGAGTTTGTTTTCACCAGAAAATCTAATCTGAATCACTTGGCACCAAAATTGGAAAAATATGTGTGTGTATATAATTGTGAGCTATAATTTGACTTTTCGTCAACTGCTGCACAAATTTCAAAAATTTAAAAGCCATTGGATGGAACTCGTTTCGATTAGTTTTGCGAAACTATCGGCCGAGCCATTTCTTTGCTATTAAGAAAAAATTGAATACTTTTGTTTCACGTTTTCATCAAAATTTTGAACCAATTTTGAATACTCAAAAACAGTTCAAAAGATAACAATTGAGAATCGTGATAATTAAATTATTTATTAATTAGGTTATAGTAAAGATTGGTGAGACCGCTTCTTCATAATTATTTATTAACCACTATACAAAATATTACAAAAATTATGTTTTTTTAATCTGGAAGATTTGTTTATGTTTTTTTTTCAATTGGCTTCATTATATCAATAAGCCACATATATTATTTTCAAATCCTATATTGTTCGACTTTCTAGAATTATTGAAATTTTAACATATTTCTTTTTAGCATAGATTATTTTTATTTTCTTATCCAGTTTATTCAATTTTTTTGTAATTCCACTTTTCTGGCTCTATATAATTTTACAAATGACTTACAGTTGAGAAATTAATTATATAAAATTTTAAGAAGACTAACATAAAGTATATAAAAATCAACGGCATTATATTTCTTTGAAAAATGTAATCTTTTGGCTTGAAGTATGTTTGAGTTAAATAATTTTCCAATTGGTTTCGCAGAGCACTTATAAGTGCTCTTATGGTGGCACCCGAGGCCGTTCTGGGGTACTCAGCGCCCGCATGCCAATTTTTTTTCTATCGCCTCCCCCTGCTATTTTAACTTTTTAATTATATGAACATTTACATTAATTTTTTAAAATAATTTTTAATAAATCTGGATTTACTACACAAAAATAGATCTAAAATTGCATCGTAATCTTCTAATTGATAACGTAAAAGATGACCCCTTTTATCTATACTGCGTATGTATTTATCTATACTTTCCCACCGTGTATCAGATTATTGTTTTAAAGTTAAATTTAGAAAACATTGTCTAAGATTAGTAAAAGATGCAAAGAAAATATATATTTCTGGAATGATATTGAAAAGACTTGATTATGAATTTCATATCCCAATCTCGTTTTGGCGCCCCCTAAGGTATGCGCCCGCATTTTTCGCATGCATTGCATTCAAGATAGGACCGGCCCTGGTGGCAACTATATCATTTTTATTATTCGAAGATTTAAATTTATTTCTTTTCACAGTAGTGGCCCAGAAGTATTTTTTACTTGAAAACTTATAGCATGTAAGTGTTTGTACAAATCTGTCCGAGATCAAAATCCCACTTTCTTGGATTCATTCCATTTTACAGATGAGTCTTAGCCGAGGCCGTGCCCCAAGGCATACACCTTTATCACCGCGAACTCGTCGCTGATAAGCCAGTAGAGATAAATCCACGTACTTATATTTTATATTTGTACAAGCCAATGTGTACATATCCGCTACATTTAATAAATAGTGCTATGTCATGACAAACCCACTCGGCTAAAGATTTCGGTATGCGTAGATTTCCACAATTACTTATAGTCAGAGATAATATCTAGAAAGTTTTGCAGTGTTTTTAATGACCACACACCCTGTAGATGCTCAACAATAATAATTGTTATGGTCAATTCGGGTAATAAAAAAATTTTATATTACAGATAATTGCTTATACATATAAAACTAGTGAGAATTTAAATACAGTCAACTAACTACTAATTAGAAATATCATTGACATAATAGTGATAATGTTCATTAATTTTACCAATTGCCAGCAATCCGTAATTTAATTTTTTTAATCTAATCTTAGGCGAAGTACACCAAAAACATGATTAAAAAGAAAATTGTTACTATATTGTCAATATGGAACATCTATTTCCTATTTTTTTACTTATGATTAAGAACAAGTACTTCGCCCATTTCTAATTTTGGCACCGGAGAATAAATAAAAACACAACTAAAAGTTAAAGTGATAAATCAACATGTATTGCCAAGAGTTGACAAGATGACAACTATGTTGGATACAATTTTCAAATGAAAAGGAAACTTTCCAAGAAAAGGGAAGTTGAATTGTGGTGTTTGAACTTTGTCGCTCACTCGCAATGCTATTGAAGGAAAATATCAATAATATAAGGATCGATTACTTCTAACATTTCGAGACTTCTAACATTGAGTAGCGATCAGAAATTAAGGGTATAACTACGTCGGTTTTATAGATGGCAACCAAAACAGTTGTCTTATCTCTATGCGATGATGAACTTTATTGTTACAATTTCTGTAATAGTGATTATTTTTTTATTGCTGCAGCAATGCCGGCGAAGAACTATTTTTACTTGGGAACATATTGCTTTCTATATTTCCAAGTAAAAACCGTCAGTACTGCTCGACATCAACTTCCCAAGGGTATCCAACCTGGGACCTCTGACCGAAATCCCATAGCTCAAACCACGGGAAGCCCGTAATGAAAATTAATATTCATTCAGTTTGGCAAATATTCATCTTCCTCAACTGCATTAAGATGATGTGATTTCCGTTACATAATATTTTCAAACAATAGTGAATATTTCCCGCTAAGAACGTGTCCGTGCGCAATATAACAACTTCGACAACTTATGCGACCTTGCGTATAAAAAGAATCAGATAAATGTTATTACAGAGCTATGCTCTAGCCTTGGATACGCTTCATAACAATATATTCAATTACAAGTTTTCTCTGAATGATTTCAGAGCATGTAGAGATTATATTTTTCTCTACACAATTACATTATATGACCAGAGCACGAGCTAATAATAAACTGCTAGATTGTGTTCTACGGAAATTTGTGAACTATGAAACAAACATAATCTACTTCCATCTGAAATACATAAGTAAGGATGGATTATATGGCATTTGCCGTGAGATGATCCTTCGAATATTTTATTTAACGAATGAGTCATGATGGACGATTCGAAGTAGTTGCACAGCCGCACCTAAATTTCTGCATTTGCGGTTCAACGGCAGTGACAAATACCTTGTACGTGCAAAATGATATTTTCACGTATAAGTTCATGTGACTAATCCTTTTGCCTTTGGAATTAATAAAACATACAGAAATACTTGCAAGAGTAGATTCATACACATCCACAATTCACAATTACCATGTGGAGAGAAAAGAATGTGGTAAATGTCGTTCTCACTATACTACATTAAAAACATTTATTTTAATATCATATTCTTTGTACAAAAATAAATAACTTCCTAACATTCTCCATTAGATTACTGTCCTCCATAGGTGTAATTACAGGTGTGTA